GTGACTTCTTTTTCCTAAAGCAAATTATCTTTGTTCATTTAGTACCTATATAATTACTTGAAAATGCAAATTGTTATATAAAGTACAAAACTTATTTTTGCCAAAAGCCTTTCCTTGGGTAAAAGCTGCACTTACCCACTGGGTTTCGAGTCATTTTGGTTCCTCCTCTTGGGGTCTTTCTTATTTGGAGCTCTGAGTTTTTGGAACTCAGTAATCAGTACTCATAGTGGGGGCATATTGCTTCTCTGCCTGTAAACTGCAGCTCTGCTCTCTAAGTGTGCATGATGATGAATATACTCCTAGAAGCCTTGAGGCAGGTTTTTTTTTGGTTTTACAGCGCTCCAGTGTCTTTGGAGTGTAGCCACAGAACCATCTGGTTGGGAAAGATGGAAATCTCTCTGACTTGGTGAATCATAAGGCTTTTAAGTCTGCTTGGTGTTCCCAGGTAGAAGTACAGACTTCAAAGAATTCTAGATGGCTTTCTCACTTATCCCCAAATTTTAGGAGACATTTGAATAACCACATGATCTGGTGCCCGGCTTTCGTGGGCAGACCCGCAGGAGGGAAAAAAAGGCAGCCACTCAGGATGAGTAACTGCCCCCGGGGGCACGACAAGGACAAGAGGCTGAATGGAGGACTGGACAGTGAAACCTAGAACGGATCACAGCCAGGTGAGCAAATCACAACCAGACCTCGCCACCAAGGGAAGTGGGAGAGAATTTCTACTTACCAGGTCAGAATATTTACCAGGATGCTGATGGGGGAACTGGAGCAAGAACCCCTGGAGGAGGAAAGAGCAGGGTCCAGAGACAGGCTCTGGGACTCAGAAAAAGCAGCGGTTTGTTGCTTAAAACAACAGGCGCTTATTTCAGTTAACATACAGAAGGGAATTATTCAATAAAAGAAATCCTTGTGACCAGCTAAAACTTAACTGCATTTGTCGTATATTTCAGTGGGGGATATTAATTCTTCTTTTCTCCTATCGTAAAGTTGTGGCAGGCGAGTCACCCCAGACAAATTGAGGGTAACATCACTTACCCTCCTACAACTGGTGCATTGGCCGGGAACCTGCGAAGTGAGGAACAACCTGGGGATAGGATGGATTCCATGGAGGTGCAAACTCCAGTGGATTGGCAGTAGGCCCATACCGTGACATTATGTATACCTCAGGGGCAACAAGCCCAGCTAGAAGAAATGGTGAGGATAAGAGCCCAGGAGGCTGAGGTTCGAATCTGCCTCCTCAACTGCCAACAAGACTTGAGCGAAAAATTCAAGGCGCAGCAAGTAACAATGACCCAGGATGGGGATGGGACAAGTTTCCCTAAGATGTGCCCACAAGATGACCCAGAGGCATTCTTGGAAGCCATTGAACACATGGCCATGACCCTAAAATAGGACCTGGTTAGCTGGGCAGTAAGGCTTGGGCCCCGACTGATCGGACCAACCCAGAAAGCCTACAGAGCTCTAACCAGAGCACAGACCTGGGACTATGAAAAAGTAAAGGCCGTGATATTATACTGGCTGGAGATATCCCCTGAGACATACTGACAAAAGCTCAGGGCTAAAAAAAAAGGTGGAAGAGAACAATTAGAACAATTCCTGATGGACTTAGGGAGCCAGACCCAGAGGTGAGTCAGGAGACATTGACCAAAAAGTATGGAGAAGGTGCTCCCACTGGCTAATGACTGTGTGGCGGCTGAAGCCGAAGGGGATAACCCCAGAAGAGAGAGGGGAGCTGGGACATCCCAAGCCCCAAGACCTGAAGGGAGCCAGAGGGTAAGGAGGGGGGGAAGCTCCCTGGAACCCCACATGTGAGGGCAGAAGCTGGGATAACAAAGAATTAGTTTGTTACCAGTGTGGGGAGAAAGGACATGTGGCCAGGACCTGTCCCCAACAGGGGCTGTAGGAGACGTCTTCCAACTACCCACATGAAGACCAGATGGATTGTAGCTTTGGGAGACACAAGGGCCCCTGGAGAAACAACAAGCCAGTGGTAGAGGAGCTCAAGATAGGGGGGCAATAATCCTCCCCACCGTGGTAGATGCAGGTTGTTCCCAGACCATGGTCTGAGCAGATTTAAAACCGCCCCGGATGGGGCGCCTCAAAACCACAGTAAGTATGACATGTATACATGGATCTTCATATACATATGAAAGGAGGTGCGTGAAACTCACGGTGATGGGACGGACAGCCGAGCTAGCAGAAGGCCTGGCCAAGACCCTGCCCTGCCCCATGCTGTTAGGGGTAGACTGGCCTTATCTCCGTGAGGTGCTGGATCGAGCTATGTAGGGTCAATCGGGGGAAGACCTTGCCTACAAGTCCCACGCAGCGTGCTATGGAGACCCGGCTGACCTCGAAGAAGGGGAGTTCGACCTGGACCAGTTCGTAGGTGCAGACCAATTCCAAGAAAAGCAGAAAAGAGAGCCCTTGCCTAAAAACATCCTGCAAGACCAACTAGCCAAACGTGAAGGTGAGGTGCTGGATCCAGTGTGGGTAAGGCAAATCCCCCATTTTGAGGTAAGAGATAACATTCTGTATTGGGCTGAGACCAGGAAAGAGGGGATGGAACGAAGCCAGATGCTTGTTCCTGGATGGTGCTGGAGGGTCTTGTTGAGAGTGGCTCACGCCCTTCCCATGGGGAGGTATCTAGGCAGAGACAAAACCGAGGCTTGATTAAAACAGCAGATTTACTGTCTGGGACTCTACAAGATGGTAGAGAAATACTGCCAGGAGTGCCCAGCCTGCCAAAAGACAGGAGAGGCACGCACCCCAAGGTGCCAATGATCCCCCTACCCCTGGCAGAGAGACCTTTCAATTGCATTGCATTGTGGACGTAGCAGGTCCTTTCCCGCGTAGTGGGGCAGGCTACCAATTTGTATTAGTAATCTTTGATTATGCCACCCAATTACCTGAGGCGGTGCCCCTATGGACCATGATGGCCCCAAAGATTGCTGATGCTTTAATAAAATGAGTGGCCTGGGTAGGTCTACCACAAGAGATATTAACTGACCAGGGGAAGAACTTTATGTCTAGCATCCTGAAGGGCATCAGCAGGACACTCCAGATCAAGCAGCTACAGACTTCAGTCTACCATCCCTAGACCAATGGATTGGTAGAATGATTCAACCAGACATTAAAAGGTATGATTTGGGTGTGTATCCAAAGGGACCCAAGTCAATGGGATGAGATGCTATCCCCCTTACTCTTTGCCATCAGGGAGGCCCCACAAAACTCTACCGGATATTCACCCTTTGAACTGGTGTATGGGCACCAACCACGGGGGATCTTAGACCTAATCTGTGAGAACTGGACGGAGCCTGAGCCAGGGAGGCCAAGATGGCCCTGAGCAGTGACAGACTTCCGGGAGAGTGTGGGCCATAGCCCCAAGTAACTTGGGGTGGAGTCCTGCCCAACAAAAGAGGAACTACAGTGTCCATACACAAAAATGGTAACTTAAAGAAGGGGATTGGGCTCTGGTATTACTACCAGATAGCACCCACAAGCTGTTAGCTCAGCAGCAAGAACCTTTTTAGGTCTTGCGAAAAGTCGGATCTGTTACCTATGAGGTATTGAAAACACACCCAGTTAGGAGAAAACAAGTATACCACATCAATCTATTGAAGAAATGGCACCAGCAAGAGGGGTGGTTAATGCAGAAGAATATTAACACCAAAGATTCTGAGGAACTAGGAGTAGCCCAGGAACAACAGGACCCAGCTGGGGAACCAGAGATAGGTCAAGACCTAGGACAGGATCAAAGAGAGGCAGTGGGGAAGATCATTAGGGAATTCTGTGACGTCTTTAACGAATGGTAAGGAAAGGCCAAAGGTGTAGAACACTGAATACAGACACCGACGGCGTAGTGGTGTGAAATCTCTGGCGAAGGCTGCCCTGTTACTTATGGCCGGTAGTCAAAGAGGAGACTGACAAGATGCTACACCTGGAGACCATTGAGGAATCCCACAGCACCTGGCATAGCCCAATGGTGATTGTCCCCAAACTGGACAGATCCATACGCCTCTGCATAGACTACTGAAAGGTAGAGGTTGCAGACTTTGACACTTTTCCTATGCCCCAAATAGATGACGTGTTGGAAAAGATAGGCCAGGCCCAGTATATCTCCACACTGGATCTCACCAAGGGTTACCGGCAAAGTCCAATGACCCCGGCAGATTGGGAGAAGGCAGCGTTTGGGACCCTGTCAGGGTTGTGGCGGTTCAAGGAGATGCCTTTTGGCCACGCTCCATTGCACTGGCTGTAGACCGCAAAAACAGACAGTGTAATTAGGTGACTTCTTGCTAGATTAACTAGGTGGCTTCTTGCTTTGCACCCTTTTTATTTTTCAGTAGAGCAGGAGAAGAACCAGGAACGCAGACTTCCTCTCCCACCCTGAGGAATGACACACCTGGGACACAGGGCCCCACAGAAAGAAAACCGCAACAAGGCAGACCAGCGTGTTGTTAGCAAATAAAAACCTAGGAGTCTGGGCTAGCCCAGGGATTGATATGACACCTTGTTTGATGAGTGACAGAAAGGCTTTATTTACTACAAGTATGTAAAATCAAGTCAAGTGAGCCCAAACTAAATCGAAGTCCAGTAATTAGCTATAAGGTGATGATTTCCCACCAAACAGTCTGTTTCTCTTCAACTTCTCAAGTAAGTTGGGCACATCAGCAACTGGTGTTAGAGAGATGTCTCATTCTTGAAGCGTGCGCGCTGTTTGCTGTTTTACTGCCTTTTTATACCCTTAGTTTAGCATCTTCAAAGCATTCTTTTAGTTGTGTGACTCGAGAGAGTCCCAAGCAGTAATTGACAGGAAAAACCTCTCATTACTGGTTATCAGAAATTTGAATGAGTTACCTTCTTCAGTAACAAGAGGTTATCCAGTTTGAAACATCTTAAGAAACTGATTTACAGCCAGGAAAAAACATACTAAATCAGGAGGAGACATCTATTACATATGGAGAATGTCTCTTCCTGCACATAAACACAAGTTAGTTGCGAAAGAAATATTTACCTTGCTAATTAATCAAGGATAGACAGTTCATTAGTTACAGACCAGATAACTAAGAGTCTGCCTGAAATCATCATGAATATAGTAAGATGAACTGGAAGAGATACTTCATTATTCCTTCTCAGATGGCCTGGCCATGAACTCGCATCCTCTTGCAATTTGCAGTTAGCATCAGTATTCTGTGTTTTAACTTTTGTGAGTAGGCCCAAGCTTATCATGAGTTTCAGAGTCATCAATGTGGACACTCCAAATTTCTTTTTCTTTCTTCTTTTCTTTCCCATGCTCTCACACCCCTTCCTTAGTGATGCCAAAACAGAGGGTGGAGGTATGTAACACAGGGTGGCACAGCAACCCAGTTACTGATGTGACCAGGAGTAACCCTGCGGGGTCGGGAACGGGGCAAGCCTGGGAAGAACACCGGTGTGGCTAAGAAGACCGGTAATTAATTACTTTGGGAAGCCCAACATTTTTCACTTGACCTCAAATTCCTTTCCTGAATAGACAAAAGCATTGGAAAGCTGAGGTTGTAACATGACTATGGAATTTAAAAATATATACAAATACAGTATGTGCACCCGCCCCCATGTTTACTCGAATATAAGATGGCCCTCCAAAAATTAGATTCTATATATGGAAAATGTATAACTTTGGAATAATTTTCTAAGGATTATTGGAAGATTGTCTTGAATTCATCCCCTACCCAGTGCTTCAGCAGGGAAAATAGTCACTAAGGGGTGGGATCAGGTGCCCCCCCTGCCTTCTGCCCTCCCATTTTTCCCCCTGCAGCTCTCCTACGTCTACCCACCAGTTTGTCTCCCCCTCCCCCTTACTGTTAGCCCCTGCTCAGGCTCTGTTCCCTCCCCTAGCACAAGACATGGAACTGAAGTGTATTCAGCAGTAAGGGGAGGAAAGGGGCAAAGGGTTGCGGGCAGAAGCTGCGGAGAGCAAGTAGTAGGCTGCTGGAGGCCTTTCTTAGAACTGGAACAGCTGCCAGCCGCCGCACAGGGAAACCTTTTTAGTCTGAAATACCATGAATCAAGAAATGACTTGCGCGTGCACATTTCAGCGTGCACTTGGGCCAAGTGTTTTGTGGTAGGCTCAGTATGGGCTGCACTGAATCAGCTTCCTAGGTGGTTTCCATGACTGAGCACATACTACTTCCAATGTTTTGAGAAGGGGAGGATGGTTTTGCATGCACATATAAGACAAGAGGCTATTTTTACTATTCTGATTAGGGGAAAACGTTCATTTTCTGTTTGAATAAGTATGGGATATAGTGTGCGGGCGTTGGTATGTGGTATTACATAAATATAAAGAATTGTTATAAAGGAGGCACTGGGGAAAGGACAAGAAGCAGCTTACTTTGCAGTGAAGGTTTGAGTTGATTATTAGGACAAATTGCCAGCTGCCTGGGTGGTGGAACACTGGCACAGGCTCCCTAGGGATCTCACAGGGATCACTGGGTGTACTCGATCCTGCCGTAATGCACGGGGCTGGCACTAGAAAATCTCTTGAGGTTCCCTCCTTCCCTGCATTTTAATGATACTATGAATATTCAGCAAAGAACATTGCAGTAAAATGACTTGAACAGTTCTTAAATAGAGAACTGACAGTCAAATACCCTCCCCTTTGTACTTTCTTGAACAAATGGGTATGAACCGCAGTCTGTTAGGTTCACAATGACATTAGAAAGGCTGTTAGAGCTCTAGGAAGTTAGATTTGCAAAGTCCGAGTCTGTTTTTAACTTGAGTTAGAGCAAGTGGCGGGTCGGGGGGAATTTGGGATCTAAAAACAGCTCTGGTCCAAATCCCTTCTTCACAGACCTCAGTGACTTATTGAGGCCCAATCCTCCTTTCAGTCATGGCTTTTACATCATCACGAGCTACAACCACCTCTACAGTAGCCTTGGTTCCTACCAAGTTACTCCTGATTTGTGCCAGGGGTTAGTAGAGAATGGGGCCAATCAGGCATAAGTTGCTGGGTGATAAGGATTGTGTGCAGCAGGAGGTGTGGATCCAGTCTGTCTGTGAGCGATAAACAACCCAACCCACCCTTTGTTTTTTCTGCAGCCAACGTCTGACCCACAGTTAGACCCTTAAATGGAAATGAACTCAACTTCAGGATGGGGTGATAAACAGCTCAGACTATGCCTGGGGGACAGCAGGTAGAAATTCCTGCCTGGTGGGTGAGTCATTCATTTGCACTTTGTGCAGTGGTAGTCATTCCCCAGGTATATAAACACACTAAAGGCGATCCGGTGTTGAAACACTGTTGATGATTGCTACCTTCTGCGGTAGATTAATTGCCCTAGTGCTCTCTGTATACAAACATTATCTATTTGATCTGTCATTGATAGTGGTTGGATGCATAGGCAGGCCGGATCAAGACATTGAGGCCAACAGGTGAACCTGCAGAGTACTATGGTGGAGCCGGGGTGAGGACTGGGAGAGAGGAGCTTTATGGAAATATCACCATATTGGGTGCAGACAATAATGGTGCAAATGCTGTGACCCTGAGAAATGCCAGGAGTTGCTTGCCCTGAGCTCAAAGCAAATACAGTTCTTTTCTAGGGCCCTGAATTGCTGTGGCTGAAGCAATTCCAGCATTTAACACATGTTTTTACTGAAATTGAAGAGGCTTAGCCTGAATATTTTCAAGATATGCATATATAGGGAGGTGTTCCAGAGCAGCTCTTCCTGATTCATTGCCTGTGTGGTCACTGACTTCCAGTTAATTTAGTTTGCCAGGAAGAGCTGTTCTGCTTTAAATTTTCCTGCAGGATCCTTGAACTTGAATCAGTATTTCCCACAGCAGTTCCTCCCTCTGATCAGAGGCTACTCTGTTCTTATACCCTGTGCTAACTTAGGCTCTCTGCATGTACAGATGCTAAAGGGAGCTGTTCTTTCAGCAGCTGTTACTGGCAATGTCTGAATCCCTGCCAAGTTATTCATGTAGTTCATATGTCAGATGATGCTTTGTGCGGGAGCTAGGCAGCTTCCTTTGGGATGGAGCAGAAATTCCAGATCCTTCGGCTACCAAATACATTTGCTACCAGTCAAACTTGCCTGGTCCTGAAGCCTGTGGCAGGCACGGTAGTTGTAAAACTAGCAAGTCACGGGATCTCAGGCCAGGCTGTCTTTCAGAGACAAACTTACCTACACAGACACAGTTTGCAAAGCCTCCTGAATGAAGCAGATTGCACAATGGAAAAAAGTCCAAGTTTAAAAATAAAAAAGAAAGTCCCCAGGAAACCATATTGAAAAATCCCCATTTTGAGCTCAGAGGGAGAAAACTGAGAAAAGAGTGGAGGGTTTTCTCATGCTAACCCCACGGGTCTGTAGCTGGATATCTGGTCACCTTCCCCTTGAGCATTCTGGCCCAGTAGCATTTTGCATCAGCTTTGCAGGGATGGAAATGACAGGGGGCCTGATTGCACACCCTCGGGTTTTAATAGTTAAGTCCGAGAGATTTTTCCCAGAGCCGTGCCCAGGGCCCAGAACTGGAATGTAGCTAGAAAACACTGCACTTGCATTAGTGAGGGCTGTTGGCTGCTGGTTTGCAGCTCTGTGACCGAATGAAATATTTGGAATGATTTTTTTTCCCATCAAAAAATACATCTTTTTCAAAATGAAGAATATTACAAAGAACCTAGCTGTGGAAGAAAAAAAGTTTAAAATGTCTGGGTTTTAACATTGCAAATGTTATTGAAATCACCTTTCAAACAGTTAATCATTTTTTTTTAACGGCAACTGAATGTTGTTCTGAGTCATGCAGTGTATTTCCTCTCGTGGTATCTGGATGCTGTTGCTTTTTCCATATACAGACTGGGGCTTCCAAATCCCAAAGGCGATGCAGAAAACACAACACAGATATGTGCTTGGTGGCAAAAGCTCAGAAAGGTTTATTGTCGTCAGACAGTACACCTCTTGGTCTGATTAACAGTCAGTCCAACCTGGAGAAGCTTTTCCTTGACTGGTAGAGACACCATACACTATTCATGCTCCCCAAGCTCTCTATGAAGGACAGGTCTCTCAACTCCTGTATTTATACCTGCATCCCTCATGCCCGCTCATGTTTCATAGTTTCATAGTTGGTAGGGTCGAAGAGACCTGAGCAGATCATCAATTGGATGCTTATCTTGCTGGGATCCTATGACCCCAGCTGACTTCCTGCCCTTTGGGCGGGGGGCTGGACTCGATGATCTTCGGAGGTCCCTTCCAGCCCTAATGTCTATGAAATCTATGAAATCAAGTCTGACCCCCTGCCATGGCAGGAAAGAGTACTGGGGTCAAACGACCCCAGCAAGGTCTCACTGTCAAGAATCTCATCTTTGTTTGTTTGTTTTTCCAAGTTCACCCATCTGCACTTTCTTTAGAGAGTTCTAGCTTTCACAGTTGTAGCTGCTAGTGTCATACTGTCTTCAGTGATTTTTTGCTCATTAGTGTGGGTTTTTTGGTTTGTTTTTTTTCTTTGAGTCACCCCTGAATCAAAGTGCCTGCAAAGATTTGTTTAAATAGAAGGAAAAAGTCAGTTAACATGCTACTAGATACTGGTGCTCAGCTACGTGTTTTGGACTGTGCAGAATGGAAAAGGTTCCCTACCGAGTGGTAGGAGTTGGAGGTGCCAGATGACCAAGACATTTGGTCCGGTCCACGTTCACTTTGCCTAACGGCTCCGTAGTAACAGCAGCTGCTGTAATGCTCCGGGGAGGGCCGAACCTACTAGGACTAAATGTGTTGCGAGGGCAGCAGTTCTTAAACAAGAAACCTGACAGTTTGGCTGTGCCACAGCCCAGGAAATTGAGCAGAAGGACGTGATGATGGCAGTGGCCCAATGTTTTATGACCCCACTTGCCCTGCCGGCCGTGAAGGAGGTACACCGACCTCAATACCGCACACCCCCCGAGGCAACACAACCCATCCGGGACATCATCAATCGGCAGCTGGCGGATGGAAACATCGTTTGGACTCATTCTCTGTACAACAACCCGGTGTGGCCAGTACGTAAACCAAATGGGGATTGGCGATTGACTATTGACTTTAGGGTTTTAAATGCCAATACCAACCATTTAACAGCTGTGGTCCCATCCGTGCCTGCGTTAACAGAAAACATTAGGTGTTATGGACCCCAGTGGATGGGATCGTGGACATTAAAGACATGTTCTTTGCTATTCCCATCCATGAAAATTACTGACCTTTGTTTGCCTTCACATGGCTAAGCCAGCAGTACACCTACAC